AGATGGTCAACACCGAAATCAGATTGACTACATCCTTTGCAGCCAAAGGTGGCGGACATCCATCCAGTCGGTGAAAACAAGACCTGGGGCTGACTGTAGCTCAGCTCACGAACTTCTTATTGCCCAATTTAGAATAAAACTAACAAGAGATCAGGGAAAATACACAGACCAGTTAGATATGATCTCACTAACATTCCTAGCGAATATACAGTGGAAGGTGAAGAATAGATTTAAGGGACTAGATTTAATAAATAGAGTACCAGAAGAACATTGGACAGAAGTCTGCGACATTGTTCAGGAAGTGGCAACAAAGTACATCCCAAAGAAAAAGAAAACCAAGTAGGCAAGATGGTTGTCTGCTGATACACTGGAAATAGCCCAAGAAAGAAGAAAAGCAAAAGGAAACAGTAATAAGGTGAGATATGCCCAATTGAATGCACAAGCTACGAGTCTTTTGCTCTGTGTAAACTTGACTCTTTTTTTAAATAAGCAATGCATGGAAGTGGAAGAAGACAACAGAATAGGAAGGACAAGAGACCTCTTCCAGAAAAATACATTGGAGGTAAATTTCAAGCAAAATTGGCATGATAAGAAACAAAGATTGCAGGGGCATAAGAGAAGCTGAAGAGATCAAGAGAAGGTGGCGAGACTATACAGAAGATCTATATAGGAAGGATAATAATATTGAGGATAGTTTGACGGTGTGGTGAATGAATTAGAACCAGACATCCTGAGGAGTGAGGTTGAATGGGCCTTAAGAAGCATTGCTAACAACAAGGCAGCAGGAGATGACGGGATCCCAGCTGAACTGTTTAAAATCTTAAAAGATGATGCTGTCAAGGTGATGCATGCCATTTGCCAGCAAATATGGAAAACATAAGAATGGCCATCAGACTGGAAAAAATCAACTTATATCCCCATACCAAAAAAGGGAAATGCGAAAGACTGCTCAAACTTCCGTACAGTGGCCCTTATTTCTCATGCCAGTAAGGTAATGCTCAAGATCCTGCAAGGAAGACTCCAGCAATACATGGAGCGAGAGTTGCCAGATGTTCAAGCTGGGTTTAGAAAAGGCAGAGGAACGAGAGACCTGATTGCCAATATCTGCTGGATAATGGAGAAAGGCAGGGAGTTTCAGAAAAACATCTACTTCTGCTTCATTGACTATTCTAAAGCCTTTGACTGTGTGGATCATAATAAATTGTGGCAAGTTCTTAGTGGGATGGGCATTCCAAGCCACCTTGTCTCTCTCCTGAGGAATCTGTACAAGGACCAAGTAGCAACAGTAAGAACTGACCATGGAACAACAGAGTGGTTCAAGATTGGGAAAGGCGTACGGCAAGGCTGCATCCTCTCACCCAACCTTTTTAACTTGTATGCAGAACACATCATGCGATGTGCGGGTCTGGATGAATGCAAAGCTGGGGTGAAAATTGCTGGAAGAAACATTAACAACCTCAGATATGCAGATGACACCACTCTGATGGCCGAAAGCGAGGAGGAGCTGAGGAGCCTTCTAATCAAGGTGAAAGAAGAAAGCGCAAAAGCCGGGTTGCAGCTAAACGTCAAAAAAACCAAGATGATGGCAACAAGAATGATTGACAACTGGAAAATAGAGGGAGAAACCGTGGAGGCCGTGACAGACTTTGTATTTCTAGGTGCAAAGATTACTGCAGATGCAGACTGTAGCCAGGAAATCAGAAGACGCTTACTTCTTGGGAGGAGAGCAATGTCCAATCTCGATAAAATAGTAAAGAGTAAAGACATCAGAATGGCAACAAAGATCCGCTTAGTCAAAGCCATGGTATTCCCTGTAGTAACCTACGGATGTGAGAGCTGGACCTTAGGGAAGGCTGAGCGAAGGAAGATCGATGCTTTTGAGCTGTGGTGTTGGAGGAAAGTTCTGAGAGTGCCTTGGACTGCGAGAAGATCCAACCAGTCCATCCCAGGAAATAAAGCCCGACTGCTCATTGGAGGGAAGGATACTAGAGACAAAGTTGAAGTACTTTGGCCACATCATGAGGAGACAGCAAAGCCTAGAGAAGACAATTATGCTGGGGAAAGTGGAAGGCAAAAGGAAGAGGGGCCGACCAAGGGCAAGATGGATGGATGGCATCCTTGAAGTGACTGGACTGACCTTGAGGGAGCTGGGGGTGGTAACGGCCGACAGGGAGCTCTGGCGTGGGCTGGTCCATGAGGTCACGAAGAGTCGGAGACGACTGAACGAATGAACTTATGTTTTGTGAATTATGCTTTTATGTCTAATTGTGGTTTTAATTTTGTAATTTGTTATGTAATGGCTTTGGAATGGGGCCCATTGTAAGCCGTCCTGAGTCCCCCTTCAGGGGTTGAGAAGGACGGGATAGAAATGTGAGAAATAAAATAATAAATAAATTATGCCGTGAAGCATTTTACAAGAAATGCAAGCATGCATTTTAACAGTTCAGAATGGACAAAGAAAACACAGTGGAAAGTAGAAAGATCTAATAGAAAGAAATGTCTCCTACTTAATTTGAACAATGGACCTCCAAACATATCACTGACATTCTCCAGGGTCTTCGTTTGAGAATTCATTTTCCAGTGCTATGTGTGTGCACAATCATGTGTGTTGACAAAGGTTGTATGGGGAGAAAATATTTTAAAAAGGAAACTTCTCAAATTAATATGCTTTTTACCAACCAACCCCCCTCCCCATAAATAAAAACTCATTATATTTCAGCACTTCATAAGTTTAGCTCGTTAGTTCAAATAACATGAAAATACCACGTAACTCCAGTAAATATATTTTAAAAAATCTTTGAATTACTAATTTTGGCACTTTCCCTGCAAAAGTGAAAACTCCCATCCATCATTTCATAAGCCAATTCTTTGGAATGCATAAAATTAGCACTGTTCATTGCCTGATGCTGACATGATGCAGATAAACGGCACAGTCACCAGAACGATGTTTTATATAATGTATTATCAATCTTTTTTCTAGAGCTTAGCCACTGTATTTTCTACCACTCTGAGAATGTTCTGTATATCAAATGTCAACTACTTTCTTGTGATTTCTGACAAACGTAAATCTATAAATCTACTCTAAGTATGACTAAAAGTGCATCTACATTGTAGAATTAATGCAATTTGACACCATTTTAACTGTCATATCTCAATGCTATGGAATTATGGGAGTTTTACAAGGTATTTATTTAGTCTTCTCTGCCAAATAGTGGTGCCTTGCTAAACTACAACTCCCATGATTCCACAACATTGAGCCATTGCAAGTAAAGTTCTGTCAAATTGTATTAATTCTACAGTGTAGAAGCATTTAAGTCCAGAATCAAACCTTTATGTCCATTTTAGCAATACTGAGATTGTCTCTACAACACACTTGTTACTAGCAATTGTATAAACAGTACTTTTTCAGTATACATTTGTTTAGCATTATTAACTCATTTATCTTCACATTAGTGTCAAAAATCCAAAACAAAATATATCGTATCAACAATGAACTGGACGAGTGCTAATAGACTGAAATAAAATAGTACTTCTGTGTAGCACAAATGGGAGAAAAATTAAGTTGATTTGTATTCCAGTATGAAACAACCTAATTCACATTCTTGAAATCATCTCCAGCACGCAGTCAGATGCAGCCTGTTTCAAAGATTTTTTTCAACACATCATAATTTGAGCTCCTACTATATCCAACTGAAAAGATGTTGGTTCTGGAACATCCACCAAAATCTGGATTCAAGTCACTAAGTATATTGAGAAAATCACTGTCACTTTGTTGCCAAACAAAGCTGCTATAAGGATAACTGTAAAGCATAATATATTAAGTGTTACACACACAGTTGAATATAATAAGGAATGAACCCCTAAAGATGGAGTCCTTCTTACAAATGTTAGAAAAGTATATTGCCATTCTGGCAGGTAGACAACAGAAAGACAAAGCCTAGGGACAGTCCCATTTGGCAAGCATCAGTTCACTGCAGTGCAAACACTGCATTCACTTAAAACTGGGCAACAGTCGAAAGAGCAGATGGTCATACACAAAGGGAGAGCAAGTTCTACAAGCCAATGGCATTCATGTTTGAGATGTGCTAGGTTGCAGGAAACCTCCTATGTATTTAATGACCCATCATGCTTGGCAGCTGCATGAGAAACAAATTACTGTTCTCCACTAACACCACTCTTTTGTGTATGCACCTCATGATACAGTGTCCTAACAGTACTGCAGAAACCGACAAGATACTGTCTTTCATGTATGGAGCTGCAAGCCCTCTGCTTTTCAAGCTTCTTTTGACTCTGGCTCAGATTTTAAATATCAAGTTGCGCAAATCCCATCACCTTCACCAGCTGCTTGCATGGTTTTGATTATAAGGAGAAAGAGGACAAGAATCTCTACAATCTTTGCTCAATCTATCCATAAAGAGAAAGATTTCATTTTCTAGTCTAAGAAGTAAGCAGAGTAACAGATATCAATGACACTTACCTGTTTGTGAGAAGTGTGGGTTATATAGCTATTATCCAGCTTGAAATCATCCAGCATCCATTTGAAATAGTAATGCAGTACTTAAAATGAGCAACATTGATGTTTTGACAAACAATGTGTTATCAGAGGCTTCAATTCTCAATTAGAGGTATTTTGCTTTGGTTTTAAACTAAAAATATGCTAAAGCCAAGTGCAGAGAGAAGTGCCGCATACAGACGACAAGATCCCAAGCAGTTTCTATTTAATTGTTTGCTTGCCATAGATATTACTCATCGTAAATGTATGCATTCATGCCTGAAATTATGACAAGCCTCTTTGTGCTCAAGAGAAATCAGTTACACAACCCATCATGATTACCTTACTCTCATAAGTGTACTGCAAAGAAGAAAGAAATCAATATTACACAGAATGATGGATCAAGCATGAATCAATGTGGCAAGCACAGAACCAAACAGACATGGCGGTAAACAAGAAAAAACAAAAGAATAAAAGAAATAAACTACAACAGAGATTATCGCTTAACCTGTTTTGTCAGAGCTGGTATTGATGGTATTGGTAGTGATGGAAGTGAAGGTAGTCTTTGCGCTGTCCTTGGTAGTAACAGATTTCTGCTTATTTTTCATGGCTTCCAGTGCTTTGAGCTTCTTGGCATGTTTAGTGCCTTTGTAGTGGGCCGCAGCCTGGCTCTACAAAGGAGAACAAAATGAACCATGCAATCAGGCTCATTTCTCAACTGGCATTCTCTGTATTACTACAAATACAGACAACCTTTCAATAATGGGTACCATTTTCCATACCAAAGCAACGATCAATTCTGTAGAATTCATCTCAGAACTATATTTTGGAAACAGTAAAGTATAATATTCCAGGATTGCAAAGATTAGAGACTTTATATAGAGCTAACTTGATTTCTCACCTCAGGTAATAACATCTTTTATATTTTTGGTTATGAATATTTTTTTTCCTCTCTAGGACATGTTTCTTTGAAGCTACTTCTTACTTAAATATAAATTAAGGGGAAATTAATGGCAAGCATTGGGATGTTTTAATAAGAAGAGACCAAGTAACAAGAGGGCAACTTATTTCTACCAAAGGGCATTTTGCAGAACTCAGAGCTTGTCTTGTTCTTTTGAAATAGCAGGTAATGGAGACTTTTGGTGGTAACATTATGCAAAGTGGAAACATGACTGCTTCAAATGGCAACAAATAAATTTACCACACACCTGCTTAAAAAAAATTGCTTGTATGGAATTTTTTAAAAACCAGGCATATTCATGAATGTGAGCATGAACATGAGGGAAACCAATTCCAAGAAATCCATTACATGAAATGGCCATGTTCATTCAATTTGTTTCTCCACAGACATGGCTGGAGAGTGTAGGCTTTCCTAATGACACATTTCAGTCCAGGTCCATCAATACTTGGACTTGATCCAAACTTCACTCTTGCCAGCAGGTACATCCCTTGAGTAATGTTCTGCTGGGATGATATTGGAAAGAAGGGAGGTACTTTTTATCAATGACACATCCATGCAGTCATTTGCACTTTCTGAAAATTCGTTTGGGAAACTTTACATCATATTTTCAAAGGGTGCATGAGGGTGCACAGATGGGTGAACTGGAAGAAATAACCTCTCTGATAAAGGGACCTCTCCTTTCCATTCATTGTCTATGTAGTCTACACTTCATGTGTAACTGTTGTAATATTTTCTGCATTTTTCACTTCACTAGAGGAATCCTATTCTCTCAACTATATTCAATTTAGTTTTGCAAGTGTGATCCCTAATGACTTAGGGAAAAGAACATGCCTGGTATTCTGTCATGACAGAAAGAAAACCACTGAGTATGTTGGGGATCTGAAGACAGAAGCTATCTCACTTTTCAGTATTGAAATAGCCACTGTAAAGGATGATGGTGTCTCTCAATGTATTCCCTCTGCAGTTATACTTATAGAAAAAATGAAGCAGAGAACATGAGAACACTATTTGGGTATGAGCAATCCCTGCCTCATATTTGACAGTGTGTGTGTGTGTCTGTGGGAGGGGCTAACCTTCATGGACAGGATTCTGACATGTTTATATATGTCCTTGATGTGTGTCTGCATGCAAACACAACATGCACAGATACACACACCTGCAATATCACTCTAGTACAGAAGTCCTCCTTTCAAACGTATACTCTATCATAATGAATTTTTTTCTACTGGGTAAGGTGATGCCCATATTAACTTTTCTCCTCTATGTGGTAGGAAAATGGCCAGTGAGTGTGCTTTCCAGCTACTGTGATAATAATATTTTAGATTTACTTATTTATAAAAATCAATATTGTATACATTACATGGGTCAATTTCAGCCAATATTCCATTTCAAGCTATATGAAACTGGGCATAAGCTTTGGAGGTGGAAAGATCACACCATATAGGCATGGACATTTTTAAAAATATGAATGTGATCTGAAAGCTCCAGTATACACAATGTACTCCACATATGCTCAAATAGAGCTGAAATCATGTAATAGCAACTGAGCTTTTTCCTGCCATATACTCATAGTTTTTTGGTTTGTTTTGTATCTAGTGGAATACAAGTTCATAGTGACACTAAAGGGTAATTCCTTTATAACTGAAGAAATTATTTGTAGGCTTGTGTACTATCATACCTGATTATCTGTCATCTATCTCTTTATCTATCTATCTACATACTTATATTTAGCTGTTTCATTGTGGTTTAGACATTACCCTCTTCTCAAAAGATTATGCCAACAGTGCATAAACCTCAGCATGTGATCTGAAAGCTCTAGTATAAACAATGTACTCCACATATGCAAGAATTGCCTATTTTGCCATTAGTGCAGCTAGGGTTTCATGGATAATGTCCAGTATCAATACATTTGAAGAATTTCCTTTTGGTTAAACATGATGGGCTACCCTATCACATGGAGTATCAAGTAGCAGTGCTCAAATAGAGTTAACATCATGCTATAGCCAAAGAGCTTTTTCTTGCCATATATTTTTCTGTTTGTTTTGTATCTAGTGGAATACAAACCGATCTACAAGTTCAAGGCTTGTTTTTCTTTGACACAGGCCTAAGTACCAATTAGAGAAGGTCAACTGAATCAATGGAAGTTACATCAATGGGACTTACATGATTCAGTGTGTCTGCTTCAGTAGGTTTAAGCCAAAATGATTAACCCTAATAGGAAGGAAAGAGCTAACTATCCTAAACAATCCTCTAAAACTTATTGTGCTTGTCCGTTGAAAATTAAGTTGTATTCACAGTTAAATTTGAATTTTCCTTTTGGTGGACAACTTTAGGCATTGTGGTAGGTACCCTTATTGAAAGAACACTGGACAGTGAAGATAGTAATAAGAAACAACTTGAACAGAAACAGCACAATCATGCACCTTTACAATTTTCAAACAACATGTAACATTAAGAGACATACTATAAGCCAAATGCAAACAGGTAAGAGATGTTAAATACTATTACATTGACGGGCAAATGTTAAATTAGAATGGCATAAACAAAATGGCAGCATGTCATATATATTTATGCCATCACAGCCATGTACTGGTTTCTATGGTTCAACAAAAATTTTAAAAGTTGTTATTAAAGTGGAGCAAAATGTTGATATTGTTCATTAATTTGGAATAGTATTTCATTAAAATACAAGTTTCACAATTCTCCTGACCGCGTTAATTCCAAGGTTATTTGGTAAATACACACTATTCACTAATTTTCTGTTTATAGATCAACTGTACCATACAATTCCATAAGATGATCTCCCCTTTCCACTGAAAAGTGAATATTTCTAAAGATTTACCTTAATGTGAAGATAAATCACCAAATCCAAAAAGTAGAATGTAAAATGTTCTGTTCTTATGAAACAGAAAATGAAACCACTCTCAATAAATAAGTAACATAGTGAGTTCCAGAGATCCCATGAGTATTTGTGCTTTCCTTATTACCTACTCAGGAAGGCATTTTAATGTTTTTTGTTAAAATTTTAGAATGTAAATCTACATTTTCCATAGGGAACAAAGGCCTTCAAAGCTGTTTCAAGACAATTAATGTTGGCAGTTTAATGGTATGGGAAAGAGATGATTACAAAGCTTGGAACTATTCCAAAAGAACACTTCTTTCTTCTATATGGAAAAGATAAACTGCTTGCCAATAGTTTAACCTGTTCTTAATTAAGCTACTCTAGTGATCCCACCCTGGACCTCTAGAATTGAAATGGGACTTCCCCCAAACTTTATCTTTTCTTATAATATTAATTGTACAAAATGGAAAAAGGATGTAAAATATTCTCAAACTTTTCTTTTTAATATCTACAATACCCAATACTTTCAAATGCTTAAATATTTTTATATAGTTAAAGAAAGCTATAAGGGAAGGGTAAGTACTACCATATCACCTCAACACATTAGAGCTGGAATTAGATAGACTGAGGACTGCAATTATACCAGAATGTCTTGCAGAAAAGGAAAAATAGAACCACAGTTTGAATCAAAGTCAAAATAATGATGCAAAACTCTGAGAGGAGACTGAATGAATGATTGCCCCCATTTTATCCAGGCTAAGAAAAAAATACACATACTGTGACATTCCTTAAGAAAATTGTGGCAGAAAATGAAAAGTAGATTGAAAAGAGGTTTTCAGACCTATTAGAAGCAATCTTGTAGAAAGTCTTGTGCTATGTAAAAGGTTAGCAATGCCTGCATTTATTTTGCAGCCTTTAAGGAAATACTTCGTCATAGTGGGTCTAGTTTAATCCTTGTTGAAGGGAAAAATAAATGAACAACTTTAAAAAATAGTTGTTTTGGTGATTCCATGGCTCTGATCCTTGCCATCACCACATAGACAGTAACTACAAATGTTTTTGAACAATGTAGATAGATCTTTCCTTATTTTCAGAATTATTAAAAAGTGTTTGTGGTTGTCCCAGAATAAAGAAAAGTGCGCACTTTGGGTGACACTGCAAAAATTTAAAATCATCATAGCATATTTTTTTTAAATTTTCCTAACATATATTTTCCAGCTTATATAAATAAAAAGATGCAAAAACAATGAAATAAACACATTTGTTCCTTTTCTCAAATGATATGACTCATATGTAAAAACTGAACAACTATGTAGTCACTTACATCCCTTTCTGACAACATTTCTACACATGTGGAAGACAGCATTAGCCATCAGGGTTGCAAATTATCAAAAATATGCAGAAATCTCACTGACAAGAGGAAAGAATTTTGAAATCTTCTGTTCCCAAATAAGAGGCTGACCTAAACAAGATTTACATTTCTAATCTTCATGCATACATCTGTTATAGGAGAGCATTGTGGATACAACCTACAACTATACGTCTCCCTTAGTAATAACCTTCGTGTTGAAATAAGATTTAGTCACATTAAATCACTATAAACAGTTCACGTTTATTACACGATCATTCTTCCACATATCCTCATAACCTTACCTTCCTGCACTACTGCAGTTCCATTATTATAACTATTAGTACAATTGTGTAATTGCAACATTTAAAACAGAAAACGGGAAATATAACCATAAAAAACAAAATAAAATGGCCAGTTTGGGAGTAACGAAAGGGAAAGGGGAAGAATCCAACCCCTGGAATCACTTTACTGCTGTCTTTCTGACATAGAAGTAGAAGGGGTAAATCGCACCAAGAAA